ACACACACACCACACCACACAGACATGGCAATTCCTGTCTCTTATACACATCTAGATGTGTATAAGAGACAGAGCATATACAAACTACGGGCTGCGCCCCCATGCCCTCATGGTAAGTCAATCGGATGATAATACCTCAAGGCCATTGCCCACCAGAATGAATGTGGTTGAATGGACGGCCAAGTGAACGTTTTGTAGGGGGAGGGAGTAACATTTCGAGGGGAGTTGGGGTGGAATGTTGCAAGCTGAGCTCCCCCCCCCCAAAAATGGTTGGGGCGGGGGGCCAACATGCATCCCCTCTGGTAGCTGGAGGGAGACAACAAAGCTAAGTTGGCAGGGGTCCCCTGTATAAGCCTTAGGAGTAGTGGTAGGTAGGTAGTGAAGGTGAATTGAAATTGAAAGAATTTGAAAGATGATGAAAGATTTGAGAGAGAAAAGGGAAAAAATCCGAGCTTCCCATACAGATAAATAGACTTTCTTTTCCACTTTTTCTCTCTGGTTTGTGTTGTTTGTTACTAAAAAAAGGGCAATAGGATTCGCTGAGGTAAGAGAGTTCGTTGTCTGCCTGGGAGTCAGCGAATGGTGCTCTTTGTTGTGGTAGGCGACGACAGGCCTGCCGATATGAAGGTCAAGAGGTCAAGCCCTTCTAGCAATAGAAACCTGCTCAGTGTTAAATATCATACATAGGCTGTACGTTGGTTTCAGGGAAAAATCTCGCTGCAGATATGCAGCCGTAATGACCAATCACGCACATAGCCCCTAGTGGAGTGGAACAGCAACCAAAAAATCAAATGTGATTGGCGGATGAGATGAGCCGAAGAGAAAACAGAAACAATAAAAGTTATAAAACAGAGAAGAGTGCCTCGTCGCACCTGTTTTTTTTTTTTTTTTTTTTCCATCTCGTTGCACTTCGTGGGTAGTGTGGGTAGATCGCACCTCGTGAGTAATGTGGCGGGGTCTAGAGGAGAAGGGCCGGCCTCGCTGCGGTACTCAGGCAATGGGCCTCGCTCCACTACTGACCAAAAATGTGGAAAATGAGAATGAATCTTTACCTAGGACATGGAAAAATACACCCCCCTATTTTTTTGCCTTTTGTGCACTGCACGTTGTTTGTGAGAAGTGGAGCGAGGCCCAATGTGTAGGACATGGGTGCATCATTCGGCATTCTCGCTTTCGGATCGGCCATCGGCCAGTGGTGGAGCGAGGCGCAAAGAGAGCGGACGGATAAATTAGCATTTGATTTGAGCGAGGTACCTTGCTCCCCCGGGGCGAGGTCCCACTTGCGCAAATTAGGAGATTTGGGCCGTTGATCTTTGCTATCTACGGTCAGTATCTCTTAATCAGTGCAAGTGGGACCTAGCCCCCGTGGATATCACGCACGGTCATTATAGCCGTATATGGACCACCGTGCAGTCTGGTTACAGCGATAATGACCGTGTGTTCTATTCGGGTGACGTCGGCAGCGGGGAACTTGAAATTGTTTGGTTGTAACGACACGGTTTCCACGACTCGAAGCGTCGGTCGGTTCGCACAGTTTGCGGTAGCGATACGGATACGGACAAGGGAGCTACCGGTAGCGCTCACATCAGCAGTCTATCCAGCCGACGCGGCTGTGAATAGTGGACAAAAGTATTTGTTGATGGATAGGTCAGGCGTTCAAGTCCGCTGAGTGCTGCGCGCCACTGATCGTTGCGCAGCGATTCCCACCATCCCAAGGCGCCCTTGCTCGTGGTGCTGTGCTGTGTTCTTATCGCTCATTGAAATTGTCGCAAACTGTGTCGCACATGTCGCACATGGCTGTCAGTACGATTACTCGGGGGCTGGGTCCCACTTGCACGAATTAAGAGATACTGACCGTAGATAGCAAAGATGAACGGCCGAAATCTCCTAATTTGGGCAAGTGGGACCTTGCCCCGGAGTGGAAACGCTTTGTACGTACGTAGTTGGGGACGGCTGGCGTGTGATCCCGCGCTCCAGGGGCCTTGCTCAGCTGCGCTGAGGTTGCTGGCGCGCGGCTGCGCGCGGTACGGTTTAATGGCCGCGCTGTCGCACAGGTGTTGACGCCCATCCGTCGCTCAGAAAAAAAGTGTCGTCGTGCCTGTAGCCGACAGGCGCGACGACGGGCTAGTAGGTGCCTACGTATGTCGAAAAGGTGTCGCCGGGGGAGGTGGTCAGTCGCGCGCTCACGTGTCTGCGCGACAGGATATTCAGGATATTCATTCGTGCGACCGCGCTTGGCTCCCGAAGAAAAGGGTGAAGGATGGATACCCGGCTTGTGTGTAATTCATCAGCTCAGCACTCTTGATCGATGAATCGGGAAATCAATGTAGTGACCGTAGTATAGCAGGGAAACAAAAGAAGGGCTCAAAAAAAAAAAAAAAAGAAGCGGGAAAAGGAGACAAAAGAACAAGAGCGGACCTGATGTAATGTGTGAGGGCGGGCTACTTCATCATTGTCATTGGAATTGCCGAGAGAGTTGTATTGTCAGAACGGCGATTGGCGGGAAGAGGAAATCGTGGTAGAACAAAACAAAATCTCCTCGCCGCCGTGTCATGGCATAAATTCGTAATCGTCGAAAAGCGCGGGGTGGTTGCGCTATCGGTAGCGCGAACTTTGACTAGTGCCGATAGCGAAAAGGCGGGCTCGGGCTTACGTGTGGAAATGTACCGAAATTGACGACCGAAGGAACGAGTAGCAACGCGCTCCCGCGCTCATGGCGCTGTTTGAAGCCGCCGGCTGTGAGGTGAAGTGAAGCGATGACTTGGAGAAAGCGGGGAAGGGCTTCAGAGTTCAGCCAGTGACTTGCATCTATATCTATATGTATATATCAATCATTATGATGGAGTCGAGCAGAGCAGCGGTCAGCGTACATGAACAATTCTTGATTTGAGTCGATCAGCGGCCGGTGTACTTCACATACTCTCGACTTGAACCATTTCGAATCAAGTCGATGGGCAGCAGGCAGGGCACTTGAACTACCTATTATGGAACCGCAAGTCGACTAGCGGGGGCAGTGTAGTCGAACTGCCATCGAACTGAGCAGCGGAGTGTAGTTGAGCGTAGCGACGTGTGGTCGGGTGTTAGGCGTGCCGCAGATGCGAGAGGAGCGAGCGAGCGAACGCACGCGCAGGGAACGACAAGAACGCTGCGTAAGCGAAGCGAGAAGAGGGAGGAAGGGGGAAGGAAGCGCAAGGCGCAAGTGAGGAGGAAGGATCAGGCGCAAACATGCATGCTGCGGCGGCACCGACTTGCCCGTCGGCGCTTGCCACTCACCACTCGGATGATCTCACAACCAATGTGCGACACCCGCCGTCCAGTTCGGTGACGTCAACCGGAAATCAAAGATCAGTGACGGCTCATAGGGGAACGGGCGGCTGCTGCTATTCTCAAGGCGGCTTCCAGGGGAGGAGGGGGAACGCGCGCGCTTCGGCGCTCGTTGACGAGGGCGCTGGCGGGAGATCCGAGGCAAGCGGAAGACGGCGGGCAGCTAGCCAGGGGCGGGATGGCGCGGTATTCGTAGCGGCGGGAGGTAGAGTCGCACATGTCGCACAGGGTGCATGTGCGCGTCAGCAGCTGAATCCTGGTGGCAGAGAGGCGGTCGCTGCCGCGACTCGATTGTCTTGTGAGAGCAACTATTGTGTATCCTGGGCTACGGCTTCTCATCCTCGCTCCCTTTCTCCTTCGCCTGCTTTCCGTTGTGGGCAATCACCTCGTTGCGCTTCCAGCGGCTTCTCGTCCTTGTCATCTTCCGTTTGCGACGGCCGATGGGGAATTTCTGGTAGCCTCAGATCGTCTTTTCTTCGGGGTTCAGATGCCGCGAGGAGTTGTCAACACTTGTTTCTCCGAGATCGCGCCGAAAATATGGTGCACGTTCAATCCGACTTCCGCATGCGGGCTATGGTGACCACTGGGTCACCAGCACAGGGACAGCAGGTGAGTGATTGCCTACGCGCGCGCGATCTTGATAATGTCTCTTCGCTCACAAGTATGCGCTCATACTTTTTGCTTGTGATAGACTTCCCTGCGATCTCTGGCGAATTTGAGCGCGATCTTGTGTGGTCATCTACTCTGAACTGAATACAAGCGAGGTCGTGTGCGCAGTGTCTGTCCCGTTCAGCTCGTCTTCCCGTCGGTCTCTCAAGCTATGTGTGTTTGTTCCTTCCCCCCGCCTTCCCCCACCCCACCCTCCTTTTGATTTAAGTCTTCTTGGCAAGGAAGAAAAGCAATGGCCATAGTCTTGCTTCTGTACGCGAGAAACACTCAAGGATTCGATGAGTAGCATGCAATGCCCAGTCTTTTTTTGGTTTTCGAAAGGGGCGACGGCCCTTGAGATATCATCATTGAGCTGACCGGCCCCAGGCAATTCAGAAATATTTTGTTTTACTCGTCAAGTTCTATCATGTGGATTCGAACTGGGGTCTGTATTTCAACAGTTGATGGGTGTACCCACTGAGCTAGGGTCTTGGGTAATTGCCATAGTCTTGCTTCTGAACACGAGAACCACGGTAGTCAATAAGAAACGCACGTGTTCACGGAGCGCGGAGCTCCGAAAGCGCACTTTCGTCGTCACGTTTCCACCGGCTGCGTTACCGTCATCCTCAGGAGGCTCTCCTCCGCACCCAAGACTGTCGGCTTACCACCTACTATTCCTCTCTCTAAGTGTGGAGGGCCAAACGAGGCTTCGCCCTCTTACATAATACGCGCGTTCCCCGTCG